CATAAGCAAATACAACAATCAGAACTTTCCCTCTTGCAACACGAAGCCACAGAGAAGCAACCCTCTCATTTACCAGAGAGAACTCCAACACTGAGGCACGGTCTAGGCACATCTGCCTGTCTGACACCTCCCTCCCTGGGCAACTATAGAGTAGGAGAGAATCTAGGCCYTCTCCAGGAATTGGGTTCCAGAGCCCAAGATGTGAGTAAAAGTGAGCCCAATTATATCTAGCTGGTAACATTAGACCTTACACACAAGCTCTGGCTCCTTAACTGCAAGTGAAGTTACATTCCACGTCCCTAGAGATGGTCTATGCCAGCAGTAACACAATCGRCAYGGCCAGGGACCCTCYCTCACCTGTTGCTTCGGATGCMTCACACCCAACCTTGATGGTCCTGCCTGCTGGTGCTGGGTCCAGGTAGAGGTGGACACCCATTCTATTTTTGAGCTTGGCCTGGCCAAGCCCAATGAGCCAAGGCTTGACCAGCAGGCGCTCTCCGGCAAGCTCCCCCTGCCCAGGCCTGGCTCCAGAGAGCTGTCCCAKTTTCCCTTTTCCAGTGGTGATTCTGTGGAGGCGCTTCCATCTGCAAAGTCTACTTCCACCGGAGGATGGATTCCACAGCAGGATCTTTTGTTCTTCTTCAACTTTTTAAAAATATTCACAAACTTGTGAAAGGAATGARGAATGGGCTGACTTGATATTTTTTAATATATAATGTGTTGTGGAAGGTTTTATGTTAGTATCAAATTTGAAATCAAATTAAAAAGTATTCTTTTTGACATACAGCATTTTAATAACAACTGAAAGTTACATGACTGTGGTATAGAATTGAACTATGTGCCTGGAAAATGCATGATACCTCCCTTTAAATGCTTTAAAGGTTTGATGTTTTAAGAGCTGCATTTGCCACACTACATACGGTCATTTAACATTTCCTAATGTTACTTAAAAAAGGATTTCTTATGTAGCTAATAGGCAAAATTTTATACACAATAAAAAAGTGCTTTCTGTAAATTAGTGGTAGCAAGGTTAAAACAGAACGTGTGCTGCTAGTTTTTGTTTCCTCCTGATAGAATACGATATCACTTGTCTTCCTAAGTCATGTCTGAAGTGGTCAAATGATCAGATAAGAACAATCTTTTAAATCATTGCATAAAACAGACTGTAGCAAGACAGTCTGATTTGTGTGTGCGTGTGTGCGTGCGTGCGTGCGTGCGTGTGTGTGTGTGTGTGTGTGTGTGTGTGTTTCAGATATAGGAAAGTTTCCAGTTCAGTCCTGCTGACTTGGCCGTGCGTCTGTGTCAAAGCTTTTTAGGTAACCAAAAGCCACCGTCTATTTCCATGGAAGCAAGTTTAATGGAATGTCCATCACTGCCTAAAAGGTGACCCAAAACACTCAAACACACCCTGCCTCATGGGATTTAAATTCCGCTGCATGACACTCTACGGTGGGCACACGCTCCACATTTCTCCGGAGGGAAAAGCTACCTGTTGCCTCGCAATGCCGGCCAAACACTGGGATCAGACAAGCGTGCCTTTTTCATTCCTGACATGACGGTGGCTTGCCAAAAACCCAGGCTGTYGTGGTAATGATACTCCTGTGTGGTGGGCGGGGCTGGCCTTTCGCTCTATGGACGTTGGTCGGAGCCCAGTCTGGCCCACGTTCACAAACGGGGAGGCAGCACAGGAAACCGGGGCTTCCAGTAAAAACATGTAATTAGAAACAGATTGACTGGGAGCTCTGGTATGATAAACCCATCGTGAAGGGAGAGACACATGATGGCTGGGATTTTAAGACCGGAGTAGTTGAAGTGAGAGGCAATAACAATGGGTCACTGGRAAAATCCCTGGACAAAATCAAATGTAGTGAGACCAAACTAACAGCAAARAGACATGGATGGTGACAGACTGATGAAAATATTGTACAACAGAAACAGGGTCATCTCAACACCCAATCAGACCTGTCAGTCACTTCAGTTTAATGTGGTCAAAAAACAGGCTATGGTGCTTCAAATCCCTGCTTCTACTTGTTTAAAAGACACAGGGTAGATGTTAATGTGTTTCAGGGCTGGGTGTTGTTCGAGTTCCCTGCCACTAAAGCGCAGGCAGCTGGTACCAGCTCAGGAGGCAGGAGCCCTCAGCAACACTGGGTGTCTCCACAAAGTATAAAGTACCAAAAAGTGATACTTGAGTAAAAATACAAGTATCTTATGACTATTATTACTTTGGTAAAAGTTAAAGTCTCCTTTAGGAACATTGCTTGAGTAAAAGTATTAAAGTATCTAATATTTTTGTACTTCAGTATTAAAAGTAAAAGTATTGATTTAAAATGAACAGCTAGATTTTCTGTAAGGACATTTATTAGGAGGTGACCTCCCAAAAAATACAGAAATGACTATATTATATTGAAATAATTAATTTATGTTAAATATAGGATGCACTAGTCCAGCTGTTTCAGTTTATATACATATATCAAGGGTGAGCAAACCTTTTCCCCAAAATGAAAATCAAAATACAATAATATAATTCATAAAATACAAATACTTCTTATGTACAGTCCTTTTATTTTAATAATTATGTCCTGCTGGAGTGAAATGATTTATTTGTGTACAAACTAATACGGTATCAGAATTTATAAATTTATACTTCTCATTCAACCACAATTAAATTCACTCTATCTATAGGAGGCACAATTTATATGGATAGTATTTATTTTTTACAATAACAAGCTGAAATGAAAACAAACAAAATGAAATAAAAGTAACAACTTTCTGCTTCTTGCCTTTTTTTTTTAAATGTAAGGAGTAGAAAGTACAGATAATTGTGTGAAAATGTAAGAAGTAGAAGTAAAAATTAGGCTGAAAATTAATTACTCAAGTAAAGTACAGAGACCCAGAAATTCTACTTAAGTACAGTAACTAAGTATTTGTACTTAGTTACTTTACAACTCTAGGTGTCCCAGTCTGCACCCTCCAGAGATCAGACCTGCTGCTAACAGTTTTACTAACCCAGAGACATCCTGTCGTTTGTTTCTGAGCTCACATGCATCTGAACATGAAGAGCAGGAATAAGATAATTGTTGAACAAACAGCACACACTCAAAAAGAAAGACACGTTGCAATGGTTACGAGTTTTTTCAGGAAGCCAAAACCACGAGATTTATCAAGTTTGAACAGTGGCTCAAACGATGGGAAGCACTCGCAGCCCTCCCACTGAAGCCCACCGCTCGTGAGATTCTCACAGAGTTCAAGCTGGAGATAAAGAAGAGCCGCTGTGGGGGGATGGACGTGAGAAAGAGTTGCCGCATCCACAGAGAGAAACCATCAGAGGAGCTCTTTAGTGTGTGGCTTTACAGATCAGGCGTGGGGTGACTGTGGCCTCAGAAAGAGGAGAAAAAAAGGCTTAATTAGCCTCCACTCCCATCAGACTGCCAACCTAAAAACAGGGATCAGATTAACCCGAAATAAATGCTTTTAAACAAGTCTTAAAGGCACTTTTTTCTTTTCTTGCATCCTCATTCTAATGTCAGCAGTTCATAAACATTTAATCAGAGCAAGTGGAGGAAGTGGCTGTGTGGTAGGTGATGAGCTTTTATACATTTCAAAATACTAAAGTGAGAAGTGACAGTTCCCATTCTCCAGAACAGGAAATGGAGATTTACACTAAAAGTCCTAAATGAAAAGCCCAGTGGGAATGAATGGGAGAGAAAAAAAGAACAACACTCTTTCTATATGGTAGACAAAAAACCCTGTATTAAGCACTGATTAAAATAAAACAATGTAAACACATGAAGTAAGTTACAACAGCTCGTGGTGTTCAGAAGAAACACTCAACAGTTCTTTATAAAAGTAAACAAACAGTATTTTGGTTCTTTCTGYGCCCGCTTATGTGGCAAAGAAAAAATAACTTCCTTTGAACTCCTCTGGTTTCCATACGTGTTGTGGCAAAGGAAAGAAACACAAAGCTGCTCTTCATAAAGGGATAGCTCAGGGTTTTTTTTTACTTTTGTTTTATGGAAAGGTTATGAACAATAAATAAATTACCTGCTGTAGATAGCTCTTTGAACAACCTCAGTTTGGAGAAACAGTTTAATGCTCATCAGATAGTTGAGCTAGTGTGCTGTCTTAAAACAACTTCAGTTCCATAACGGCTCAATCAAATATTTAATAGAATTCTGTTATTTGAAAGCACATATTCAGTGTGTTCCTGCATCCTCCGAAGGCTGAATTTGTTGGCCGCTTACCTCACAGCGCTGCGCTGGAGGCTGTCCAAACTCAAAGACTCCTCCAATGCGGCTGACAAATGTGTCGTCCTCTTTCCCCGATTTGAGGTATGAGTCCGATGGATCCTTCTCGGCCCACCCTGTCCCATATTGCATTGCGGACTGACTGGATGTTTATATTATTTTGCTCATAATGGCAGACAAATCGAGAGAAAGGAGTACAGTTTTAAACTAAAACTGGCAGTATAAAAATGAAAATCTTCAAGCGGTTTGTGTTGTCAGATGGGAATAAAGCAGAAGGCTAGACCGTCCAAATTCACAGCCACTTTTTTCCGGTCTTCGCCGTCGACCAAAGACCCGGCCCACGTAGACCGTGTAGGACGGATCCTTCGAAGGACCCAGTCCCTGAATTTGGACACAGCCACAGTACCACCAGCAGCAGCTAGCTGTAGTACAGTGCAGCCTTACTGCAAGAAAATCACAATATAGTAAAGTGAAATTCACGGTAACTATGATGTTTTTAAACAACTATTTGCTTTGTCTTGGCCTCGGTCGGGTTAGTCTTTAGCTTGTCAGTCCATTTAGAGAAAAACATTTATTCATCTAAAYTCTCTAAACTTCAGTGAGCTATTTACAGCAGGTAAGATCATTGCTCAGCACCTTTATAGAACCCCACTTTCAAAGATCTGAACTTCTGCTTTAAGCTAATAACAAATGTCCAACAGCTACAAGAACAAATCCTACTTAAAACAAGAATGAGAACAAGTCAAACTTGGATTGAATCAAACCACCTTTAAGCAGATCCAGAAAAAGCTGCCACCAAAAACACAGATGACTGAATGTTAATACTTTCTGACAGTTTTGTAAACATTAACTAAAAACCATGACCTGTTTCTGATTATATAACTGGTTATTGTTTTCAGATCTGCAATCTTCCATCTACACATAAACAACATGGTCACATAGCATAAATAATATCTACCTAAAAATAATTTAATGCATCTAAGGATGTCTGAAGTTTCCTGGAAACAGGTGTAATGTTTAACAAAAACATACTGAATGAATACAAGTAAAAGTAACAAAAACATTTTAAAGGGCTTTTTGGTTTTGCTTCAACATTTGGCACCAGCCACAGAAGTACACTGACATTTTCAGACAACGGAAAATAAAGTCAGGTCGAGACTTTATGTTCAGTAACACTGAAATCAGAAAAAAAAAAACATAAAAGTGAAATTTAAGACATTTCTGTGAGCAGACTCAGCGGCTCCATTGGCAGATCAAACATCTGGGAATCTATTTGTTTAAATATTAAAAACAAGGAAACAGGATGTTGGGGAAAAGTATACATGTACAATTTATGTTTCAATTTTTATATTTTACTTAATGAGTCCCATATTCTACATGCAGTTACAGTTAATGTAATTTCTGCTATCTGTGCATGCAGCATGTTCATACTTTACTGGTACATAAAGCACAGGACAGGGCTTTATTTTTGGAATCATAGTTGTGCTCCTGAAATTGGCTCTAGCTCTCCGTCTCCCCGTGGACATTCTCCATGTGTACTTTGAGGTAATCATTCCTGGTAAACTTCTTGTGGCACAGCTGGCACTCTGCCATGGGCCTGTTGGGGTTGTGGGTCAGTTTGTGTCTGCTGAGCATTTTCTTCAAGCTGAACGACAGGTCACACACCTACGAAAACAGCACAGGTACACATCACAACACCACCTGCGTTGGCAGTTAATCCTCTAATTTTAAACTGTAACTATAAAAAACAATAGAGATATCAAAATGGCAGTTCAATCACATAAAATACAATTTTCTATGATCTGTTAAAACTTGGAAAGTAATTTCTACTGTGAAGTCAGTGTGTATTGTGCAGCAGCCAAAGCAGAGAGACCCAGACTTCCCACTCTCGAGCCACTTGGTCCAGCTTGTCTGGGGGAATCCCAAGGTGTTCCCAGGCCAGCTGAGAAACATAGTCCATCCAGCGTGTCCTAGAGTTAYGTTTCTTCCTCTGGGTCTCCTCCCAGTGGGACATGCTCAGAATATCCTCACCAGGGAGGCGTCCAGGAGGCATCCTAACCAGATGCCTGAGCCACCTCAACTGGCTCCTCTTGAGGTGGAGGAGCAGTGGCTCTACTCTTGAGTTCCTACCGGATGACCAAGCTTATCACCCTGTCTCTAAGGGAGAGCCCAGACACCCTGCGAAGGAAACTCATTTTGACCGTGYGTGTTCGTGATCTTGTTCTTTTGTTCACTACCCAAAGCTTATGACCATAGATGAGGATAGGAACGTAGACCGACTGGTAAATCAAGAGCTTCGCCTTCTGGCTCAGCTCCCGCTTCACCACGACAGACTGATACAGCACCCACATTACTGCAGACCCAGCACCAATCTGCCAATTGATCTCCCACTCCATTCTTCCCTCATTTGTGGACAAGACCCCAGGATACCTCAACTCCTCCGCTTGGGGCAAGCCCTCTTTCACAACCCTGAGGAGGCACTTTACCCTTTTCTAACTCAAGACCATGGTCTCAGATTTGGAGGCACTGATCCTCAACCCGGTCGCTTCACACTCAGCTGCAAACCACTCCAGTGAGAGCTGGAGATCACGATCTGATGAAGCCAATACACTGTAAAAAATKAAATGTTGGATTTACTTAACCATGTTAAGCGACCTGGTTCCACTTAACTGAGTTGAGTAAATTCAAAGCAATATACCAGTTTTTTAGCCAAAGAACATGAGTATGCTGCTTTGAATTTACTCAACTCAGTTAAGTGGAACCAGGTAACATAACATGGTTAAGTAAATCCAACATTTMATTTTTAGAGTGTAGGACCACATCATCTGCAAAAAGCAGAGATGGGATCCTAAGGTCATCAAAAAGGATCCCTTCAACAYCTTGGCTGCGCCTARAAATTCTGTCCATAAAAGTTATGAACAGAATCAGTGACAAAGGGCAACAATGGAGGAGTCCAACTGTCACTGGAAACAAGCTCAACTTACTACCGGCAATGTGGACTAAACTCTGGCACAGGTCGTACAGGGACCTAACAGCCCATATCAAAGGGCAGGGTACCCCGTRCTCTGAGAGTAACCCCACAGAACTCCCAGAGGGACATGGTCGAATGCCTTCTCTAAGTTAACAAAACAACTAGACTGATTGAGTGAACTCCCATGCACCCTCAAGGACCCTGCTTGCACAACTAACTTTTAGATTAGCGCTACCCACCATTAGTTAAACCACCCCGTGGTAACACTTGAAGCAAGACAAAAATTGTGACAGAAATAGAAGAGGAATGGCTGAATAAAAATAAGGCTTCAATGCTTATATACTGGGATTCTTAATGATTGTATCTTAGGTAAATATAACCATAAACTTTATTTCTGAGATCCTCTGTTGACGTACCATTAGACTCATCACAGACGGTGATGTACACTGATTTCTAACTAAGACCCTCAATGAGAGAAAKCCACCCCGCGACTTCAACGTCTATTCTAAGAGTCAGTTTTACTGTACAGATGACTCCTCGCTCCCTCCATCAGTTATTAAAATCCACCATGGATGCTGTTAAGTTTTGACACAAAGCTCAGAGATTCACAGCATGCGTCCTAGTCGACTCCGTCTGTGAATTACACTGAAAAAGATCAGACAGAGTTCAGCTATAGCTACATGGCATCAAACAGAAGCTATGAAAGAAAGCAGGTCAACTGTGCTGTTGCTGTACACAGTTCAGATATCCACGCATCAGATCCTGTGTCAGCATGACGTTCTGTATTCTAACAGAAGGACACAGAGACCGGGGCTGATGGGAGCAGCCTCAATGCCTCACAGATGTGACTGAATTCTTCAAGAACAGTTCAGCTCTGCATCCAGAGCGCCTTCAGCTTGTCTGGAAAATGTTTCTGGAAACGAGCGATCCTTTTGTCTGACTCAAATTAAACCTCCTGAAATCAAATCCATATGTTATCTCTGTTATATCTAATGGCTCAGGGTCAAACTCCTTACATGGAACATCTTTTTCAAAGATGAAAAAAGAATCCAGACAAATGTTTGACACATTTAATTCCTTCTTGGTTATGCTTCATTGTGAATGACCATCTGAGCATGTGGGTGTATTTTCTGAAGCGTACAGAAGATGAAACTAAAATGATTATTTGAGAATTTAGAGTAAACATTTTATTGATGTTGATCTAAAAATGATAACATACAGGCTGCGAATTTACGGCAATAAATTGGGTCAAACAAAAAAGTTTAAAGTCAACCCACTATCTCAGTGAAAAGAAATAACTACCATTTAACAAGTATTTTCCTGACTTTTCAAAGATTCTCAGCAAATTCACAAGAATAAGGTCTGGCTTTAAAATGATTGCAAGAATTTCTAATTTCTGTTTTCATTTTCCCGAGGAATTATATGATTGTGAGGTTGTCATGGTTCTTGTTACTAACTTGACATAGTAGGTGGTTTGTTACCAGAAGCATCAGGAAGATCTTCACTGGAAACAGTTTGTAAAAGAGAAAACCATTTCACTGAATACTTGGCAGTCCAGTGTGTGAAACGTAATTTCTGTTGAAGCCAACTGGAGTATAAGCTAAAATATATCTTGCACATTGAAAACCTTCAGAGTTGATCTTTTTTGCTCTCTCAATGAAGAAATAAATGCACAGATGTGTCTAACATACAATGACTGATTTTAAAACCCAACTTTTGCTGTCAGAACAGGGCAGAGTGGAGCAAGCACCTTTACCACAAATATATGTATAACCTAAAGCTGTCAGTCTGTGTTCCGGGCTTCTCTCTCTCTCTCTCTCTCTTTTTTTCTGGTTCTTTGTGTTTTGGCTTTATGTCCTGTGTTTGAATTTTTGTTTTCTCAGTGTCTCCTGCCATTTGTCTTTCCCTCAGTCAGCTTGTTTTGCTTCCCTTCAGTCAGTTAACCATCCACACCTGTTGCCCCTTCTTATCAGTCCAGCTGTCTCTATTAGTCTCATCGGTCAGTGTATCTTTTGGTCATTCGATTTTCGTTTTAAAAACAAATAATGAAAAACAAAAAAAACGGAAGGTTATTTGTTTTTTCATTTTCAAAACAGATATAAAAAAACAA